GCATAGCCAAGACAATCCTAAGGGAAAAAAAAAAAAAGCTGGAGGCATCACAATGCCAGACTTCAAACTATACTACAAGGCTACAGTAATCAAAACAGCATGGTACTGGTACCAAAACAGAGACACAGACCAACAGAACAGAGGCCTTGGAAGCAACACCACACATCTACAACCATCTGATCTTGGACAAACCTGACAAAAACAAGCAACGGGGAAAGGACTCCATGTTTAATAAATGGTGCTGGGAAAACTGGCTAGCAATGTGCAGAAAGCAAAAACTGGACCCCTTCCTGTCACGTTACACTAAAATTAACTCCAGATGGATTAAAGATTTAAACATAAAACCTAACACCATAAAAACCCTAGAAGAAATCCTAGGCAAAACGATTCAGGACACAGGCACACGCAAGGACTTCATGACTAAAACACCAAAAGCAATGACAACAAAAGCCAAGATAGACAAATGGGATCTAATTAAACTCCGGAACTTCTGTACAGCAAAAGAAACAATCATTAGAGTGATCCGACAACTAACAGAATGAGCAAAAATATTTGCAATCTACTCATCTGACAAAGGGCTAATATCCGAAATCTGCAAAGAACTAAAACAGATTTACAAGAAAAAAACAAACAAACCCATTCAAAAGTGGGCGAAGGATATGAACAGACACTTTTCAATAGAAGACATATAAGAGGCCAACAAACATATGAAAAAATGCTCATCATCACTGCTCATTAGAGAAATGCAAATCAAAACCACATTGAGGTATCATCTTACACCAGTTAGAATGTCAATCATTAAAAAATCTGGAGACAACAGATGCTGGAGAGGATGTGAAGAAATAGGAACATTGTTACACTGTTGGTGGGAGTGTAAATTAGTTCAACCATTATGGAAGACAGTGTGGCACTTTCTCAAGGATCTAGAAATAGAAATTCCATTTGACCAGCAATCCCATTACTGGGTATATACCCAAAGGACTATAAACTGTTCTACTATGAAGACACATGCACATGTATATTCACTGCAACCTTGTGTACAATAGCAAAGACCTAGAACCAACCCAAATGCCCATCAATGATAGACTGGACAAAGAAAATGTGGTACATATACACCATGGAATACTATGCAGCCATAAAAAACGATGAGTTCATGTCCTCTGTAGGGACTTGGATCAATCTGGAAACCATCATTCTCAGCAAACTGACAAAAGAACAGAAAACCAAACACCGCATGTTCTCACTTATAGGCAGGTGCTGAACAATGAGAACATGTGGACTCAGGGAGAGACGCATCACACACTGGGGGCAGTGGGAGGGGGGACTAGGGGAGGGACAGCAGGGAGGGGAAGGTGGAGGAGGGATAACATGGGGAGAAATGCCAGATGTAGATGAAGGGGGAATAGAGGCAGCAAACCACCTGGTTATGTATGCACCTATGCAACAGCCCTACATGACCTGCACATGTACCCCAGAACCTAAAGTAAAATTTAAAAAAACTATATATATATATATATATATATATATATATATATATATAATTTCAACCACGATTTAAAAAAAAAAGAAAACATAAAAATAAGACCTGCAGAGTTAGACCTTGCCTTAGGATACCCTCATGGTAATCTGCTTCTCAGCAACTGTGTGGCCTCAGGAAGCCACGCCTCCCCAGCCCTCAGTTTCCCCATGTGTGACTAAAACCATATGAGCTGACGGGAACATAGTGAGTCTTGGAACCCACATGTTTCCTCCCACCTGTAACCTGAGATGCACTGAGTGTGTCTTTAACACCCAACACCAGGACAATTTATTGCATCTTTAACTTATGAAGTGTCTCCTTTAAGATCTGCTGCTGCCGAAGCTGGTCCTTCTTTCCCCAGCCTGCAACTCAGGGCCTTCCTGTGGCCGGATGACACTGGTCCTGCTGCTCCAGCACAACTGGGCAAGGTGGGTCCTGGGCGGGGGATGGAGCCAATGCCAGTTGAGCCAGCACTTTATCCCGGATTGTGTGGGACTCCACGCGACTGCCTGTGAATCCTCCCACTAATGGACCAGCCCTTGAGACACCCATGCAGGGTGACCCCTCGGGGCTCAGCGAACCGCAACGTACAGCCTAGATTTCGTTCGCATTTCCCCCTGCCTAGACAGACATCTCCACCCAATCTCAGCTCAGCTGTGAGGACGCTTCAGCTTCAGCATCCCTTGGAGGGTCACCAGGCTCCTGCTTCTTGGGTCTGAGCTTCCAGAACAAAGACAGTTTGGAACTCGGCACCATGTCACAGCAAGGAGAAAAATCGCAACTTCGTGGTGACGCTAGAAGTCTCAGCTTCAATTAACAAATGCCAGAAAACAAATGGAGCGAGACTTCTGTATTCTTTCAGGTGCCTGAAAATCAACTACTGGGAGAGCATTTTGTCAGGTTAGTCTTTGCATGAATGGTTTTGGGTTTTGTCGTGCAACAATCATGATATGCAGAGACAGGAGAGCCCAGGGGTGAAGAGTGTGAGTGCCATGCCCAGTGCCACTGCTTCCAAGCTGCACAACCCTGGGCACGCTGTTCAAATTCTCTGAGACTCTGCTTTTGTGTGTGGTTTTTTTTGTCCTTAAACTGGGCTGTGTACCCTGTGTAGAGCTCAGTGAGGGTTAAATAAAATGCACCATAAGAGGCTCAGCACAGCGTCCATCCCCTAAAAATCATGCATTCGCACGCAGCTAGTGTTGCCATTTTGTTGGGCCCTGTAACGTTCTGCTGCATGCCCGCCAAGAACAGTCTGAGCAGGACTGCACCTAGTACCTGTGGAAGGTGCGCAGCCTCCGGGCGAGCAGGTGCTCCAGTGTCACCACCTTCCCCAGCAGCAGGCGGCGCACGGCAGTCTCCTCGCGGCTGGCCGGGCTGATGCGCTGAGCAGTCAGGCGCCAGACATGAATCTCGTGCTTTAGTTCTGCAGAGAAAGGAAAGGAAGCTTGGGTCTCCCACAACCTCAGGCATCAGCAGCACCCTGCTCTGCTCCCCACAACCCGATGACCAACAGAGACACACACACTCGAGACATGCAGGTGGCCCACGGTCACCCGGAGCAATGGCTTCTCAGCACCAAGCTATTGCCACGGAGCCAGACGACAAAGCAGACATTTAAAAATTATCAAAAAAGTGAAGTAATGCAATTTCAATCCTTTCAGTGAAGAATAAATTCCTTTCTTGAACAAACATATCAAAGCTAGCACCCAACACCTTTTCCCCTTCTTGCAGGAAATATTTGGATCTGCTGCCAGCCAAACTCTAGACATTGCCCAGTCTTTGAGGGGTTTCAGAAGGAGATCTAGTGAAGGGTGAAAACACAAGTGTAATTCTCAGGAGAAGGTTCTCAGGGCTCTCCAGTGGGGCATTTGGTAAGCGGCAGAAGGCAGGGAGGCGCCCTCCAACCAGGCCCCACTCAGCTGTCTCTGACACAAGCGAGAGAGAGGCAGACACCTAATGAAACGCTGAAATCTATAGAATTAGTGGAATTTTCACCCATCACTGAATTCAGACACCTTCTGATAGAGAAGAGTAGACAGAAATGATGTGTCACTTCATTGCCTCTTAAGACACTAAAATATTTCATGAAAATCTATATTTAACCTCTATTTTGCTATTAAAAACATTACAAAGAATAGAAGAAAGCACAATATTTTCATGAAGCACCCCTTAACCACACTACATATCACAAGAATTAAAGATAGGATGAAAAGACACAGCCTTTCAAGCAAGGACTCAGCTGCTTGAAGAGCAGCTCGGGGCAGATTCAAGACATGGCGATCACCCAAAGACCAGGGAAGCCACATGAACATCGTGGGTTCATTAGAAAGGGAAAACCTTTTAAGCCCCTTCTGTTCAGTACGCAAGTACTGATCCCCCGCTGCGTGGCAGACCTACCCCAACAACAAAGATGAGTCAGGCAGTGGGAGCAGCCTATACACGAAGCCTGTGGAGACTCAGAGAGAACGGGCTGGGTCTGGGAGCGCCAGAACTATCTCAGCGAGCACATGGCTTTCTCTAAAGCTTCAGCCCTACCAAGATGAAAACGCTTTAGAACTAAGATACATAATATGTTTTCATTCAGTACATATGGATGCTTTGTAGCTTACTCAAATGAAAGGAACTTGGGTATAATTCAAAGGCCTCTTTGGAGAAACAGATCTATAATTTCCTCTTGAAAAGTCTCACACTTCATTAAACCACCTATGAGGCTATGGTAAGATAAAAAGAAAGGGAAAGAGGAGGTGATATGAACTCACTTTCTGAAACACTGAACCCAGTAACACCATCTGTGGAAGGGCTCCAATGTAAGTTCAGACAGAGCCAGTATTTCAGCCAGTGCTCTAAATCTTGTTATGTAAAAGACAGAACTAAAAGCCATTCCATGAATTACCAGAGACTTTCCAGCCATTCTCTAAAGGCATATTTGCGAAGGGCCACTTTCTGAATCAGCTGGTCAGCTTTAAAGTGCCCACATCTGCATGGCTGATCTCTAGTGCCAGCCCCTGGGTGCAGGCTGGAAGTCTCTCCATACCTTTGTGTTTGGAGAAGCAGAGCCTGGGGGCCAAGGCCATGTTGGCAGAGCTGGCCTTCCAGTCCCGTGTTCCCACTGCAGGTGCTCACTCTCTGGTGGCAGCCTCAGCCACCTTCACGCACACCCAGCACCCACCTGCCTTCTAACCCACCAAACCAAAAAGGATGTGCTGCTCTCCTCAGATCAACCCATGCATTCATACCCAGGTAACGCACTTTTGTATTCCTAGTTGTAGAATGTAATATACAAATTAGGAAGGAATTTAGTTGGGAGGGATTTTGGCCAAGAGAAGGCTCACTCCATTCACCCAGAACTCAGTTTACCAAAACGTGTTCACGTATCAGTTCCCAGACTTCCTCTGCAACTCCTCTGTCATTTCCCCACCCTGTCTACTCTGCTGAGGTCCAAGACCACAGACCCAGCCGCCTACTCACTACTTCCCTCTGAACACTGTGCTGCAACCTCGTAGCTAAACACTTTCTCTCTCTCCCATAAAGTGTCTCTCCTACCCTCACCTTCTTAGTTTTTACACAATGCAATTGTTCTTCTAGGCACACAAGACTGAAACATCATACTCGTCAATGTCATTCTCTTTTATATTTCCATGTTAACATTATTATGCCACAGGTGTCAGATCTGTGTTTGATGCTAAAGGATAAATTTTAATTGGTAAATTACAAGATGGTCTTCCAAAACTGGAAAGAGATATAAGATACACCATAAAGAAACATATGCTAGGGCAGCCTGAGCCTCAAGAGAAGCCCGGGACATGCTGGCACAGCTCCTGTCTGCTTCTTTCTGTCCCTGATTATCTGCTGGTCCAGGCCTCACCCTCTCACATTTCTTAATTTGTATTGTTCCTTAGTAAGCTTTAACCACAGTCACTTCCTACCAACCTGTCCCTGGATAATCATAAAACACCGCTTGTTCTATCTATCTGTCTGTCTGTCTGTCTGTCTGTCTGTCTTACGCCTGTAATCCTAGCACTTTGGGAGGCCAAGGCGAGCAGATCACCTGAGATCAGGAGTTCAAGACCAGCCTGGCCAATACAGTGGAACCCCGTCTCTACTAAAAATACAAAAATTTAGCTGCTGGCAGCTATTAATTTAGATAATAAAATCAAATAAATCTATCACCTTCCTAGATGATAGAAAGATGACTGATATTTATCTAGCTATCATCTTCCTGGATTTACCATTTCCTAGATTAGATGACAGATTATATAGATAAATAGATGATACATAGATAGATAGATAGATAGATTCCTTCTTTCAAATATCCATTAGTTCCCCATGGCCTGCAGAATCAAGTTAAAGATACTAAAGATCTTCAGAGACAACTCTAATTCCCAAATGACCCCCAGCATCAGTGTGAGCTCCAATTCTACCATGTAAGTTTCAACTCTTTGTCTTTGCCACTCTCACCTCTTAGGAGGAGACATCATCTGCTGTCTCGTCACTTACATCTCTATCAGCCTCTATCTTTCTGAGCTTCTCAACATGCTTCTGATGGTATTAGAGTGGCCACATACATGTTTCAAACAGGCAAAGAAAGCACTGTGTGGGATGTGCTCTCACACAGCAGGTGATGGCTTCCAGAGAAACCTAGAGTAGTGAGCTCAGAGCTAGGAATCTCAGGAGAAGCAGCCTAGGCCAGAAAGAGAGAAATGGAACTATACTAGTATTAGCCTAAACTCTCCAGGACAGCTTACTACAACACAGAATTCCTGGGGGTGACGCTGGAAATCTGCATATGCAACGATCATCCTGGGTCACTCTGATCGCCAGGAGGTTGGGAGAGGTGGGCATAATGGGCAGGATGACCACTGAGCTCTCCACCAAGGCACGGCTGTGACACACAACCTCGAGGAGACAGGACGGTCACCCACAACGATCACAGTCTCCCTCGTGCTCCCTTGGTTCTCACATTTTCATCAGAAAATGAAATCTATATATTAATTCACATCTTACTCTACATACACTAGCTGATCATAAAACATTTTAAACACATGTCACTAGTTGTTAAGGGTTGAACTGTGTCCCAGCCCTCAGGTAAGGTGAATAAATTTTCCCAAAAACAAGTTTGTTTTAACAGATGAATCCTGAGAAGGAATGCAAAACAATGTTTTCTCAATGAGATTTTTAAAAATCTCATTAAGTAATTACTCAAATTCTGAATGACGTGACACAGATCTATCTCAGACTGTCACTATCGGAGGAACTAGGGTATGGCAGGACCACGTTCCGGCCTCCAGCCTTCTGTATGGAAACAGAATCGGAGTATCTTACCCAGAACAAAGACAAACTAAGGTCCAGTAAAACACAGGCCAGAGGAATCACAAAGGCTGAGAGAGATCAACATACAATCCGTGAGCCCTAAAATTCCCCAAAGAAGAAGAGCAACTTCATCTGCTGAGCTCTCCTCACCTGAAGCCCCTGTTACCCAGAGAGCCTACACAACAGCATCCACATTCTGGACCCCACTGAGGAAAGCCTGGCTGTTTCTCAAATAATCCATTGTTCCTAATATATTCTACTCAGTAACAGTCTCAGTAAAACATCTACTGAAGTGTTTAAGTGATGAAAATGCAATTGAGAAGACGGCCCCAAGCCCTCGTGCTGTCCTGCTGGCTGGTGCTGGGCATCTGCTGTTTGTTTTTTGAGTCTGAGTCTCACTCTGTCGCCCAGGCTGGAGTGTGGTGGCGCAATCTCCGCTCACTGCATCCTCCACCTCCTGGGTTCAAGCAATTCTCCTGAGTAGCTGGGACTACAGGCATAAGCCACCACACCCGGCTAATTTCCGTATTTTTAGTAGAGACGAGGTTTCATGTTGGCCAGGCTGAACTCGAACTCCTGACCTCAGGTGATCCACCCGCCTCAGCTTCCCAAAGTGCTGAGATTACAGGCATGAGCCACCACACCCAGCCGAGCATGTGCTCTCGATGTCACCTCTTGTGCTGAGTTACGTTGCTGCATTTGCAGTCACATTTAACACTCAAGCTATGATACACTATTAGAGCACGACAGTCTATATGTTAGCGTATTTGTGCCAGACGCATGTGGCTTTAGGAGGTTACGACACGTAAGTTGTACATGGTGGCCATTACTTCCCACATTTTACCACAGTACACTTCACAGAAAACCGAAGAGGCACAGCTCGTGATAGCAGCCCTGAAAACACAGTGTATACTAGCAGGCAGGCGTGGAGAGTCACCGATACTGAGCATGCAGCACCTGTCAACAGATACTTCCTGATAAGAACTTCCCTGGTAAATGAACAATATTATGGTAATGAAATCTGAGCCTACATGAGGAGGCACTTGTACTCACCAACAATCTCACTGGGTTCCTTGTTATAAAGCTTTCGGTTCCAGTAAAGGAGCCTGAGGAGTGGAAAGGAGACCAGGAGAACAAGGCAAATCCCAATGAACATGTGTGCAGTGAATCCGGCAAAGTCCAGGCCCTGGAAATAGACAAGGGGAAATGAAACAGCAGACAGGCCTTTCCTCTGCACAGGCAGCAGCATCCCGAGTCAGGGTCCAGGGATGGCCAGGACCCAGGAGGGAAGGGGCTCACCAGGAATTCCGGGACCTTAGGAAGAGGTCCTGGAGCCCAACACAAAGCCCAAGGAAGACCATGGACTCCTCGCCATGATTTTGAAAATTGTTAAGGTTTGTTTCTTTCACGTCAAACACCAAAAACCAATTATTACACAAATGACAAGCCATCTCATGAAGAAATAAAAGCACGCTACCACATCTAATTCAACCTTGGCTCGCCTTCACCACTAGACTGATGGCTTCCCCAAGACAGAGTGAAAAAAGACTGAATGGGACGAAATACTAAACTATATGATAACATTTGCCCATTTAAAGGTAAATTGAATTTTTAAACGTTTCATTTAAATCTCTGCCATCGATTTGAAAAGAAGCATCCTCACGGCTGGAGAACACAGCCCTTTGCAGGGCACCTGGGGCCCACCAGGGCTGAGGCCGCTGAGAGCATGAGGACCAGCCACAGGGACCCAGGCAGGAACCCTCTCCTTCCCCACATGCTTCCTTTGCCTGCTAGGGGTCTGCGCATGGCAGGCCACTGAGGATATCTTTACAGTTGGGCAAAATCTCCACTAGGTTGATCTGTCCTGGACTAAGTCAGCAGCATCACTGGTTGGTTCTGTTCTTTCACTGACCACGTGCTTTTATACCTTTAGCAAATCTGTGCAGGCACCTCCTGAGCCCCAGCAGGACAGATGGGGCTGCTGTCCCCACGAAGCTGGCCATCTGGTGAGAACTCAAGGTCTTTTCTATAGTGTCGATGGATCACAGGTGCCACAGAGGGGGTGAGAGGCACAGTGACAGTGCTCGACCATGGGGAGCAACAGGGGGCAGGGTGGGAGGGACCACAGGCATCCAGCTTTGCCTTGGGAGCCTGGCAAACCTCTTACATGGGTAGAGAGGTGGCAAGTCACACAGAACAATAGTGAGGATCCCACAATGGGAGTTTGGAAAATCACCTTCCAAAGGACTGGGTTTGAGTGATTTAAATTATATTAATTGTTCCTTATCAAAGTTTACGTATTTGTCCTCTCACTTTTAGAAAATATGTGAATTCACGTTCAACATTGTTAAAGATACAACACAACTAGAGGCCATTATCAATGAAGTTGTGTCAAAGTTTAGAGCTTGCCAATATACAATCATCTGAAACACTATCCCTTGCAGTTACCTGTATATCCAATGGTTGTCCTCGAAAATAGCATTATAAATGACAGATGGAGCTGTATAAGCTAATTCCTGGACAGATAGCAGGGAAACCACACAGAGGTAGGACTCATGGGATGCTTTGGATGATCATATATAAGAATTCACCACTTTTCTGATAGTTCTTCAATTACATTGAATTTTGTGTTTACCTATAGAATTCATATCCCAGATATCTTAAAAAGGTCCACAACACTTTCAGGGGGTTATGAAAATGTTTTAATTTCTTCTAAAACCAGAAGCAAAAAAAAATGAACTGTTGGGTCAGAGAAAATGATTTAAAATATAATACTAATATATTTACACACTAGCTGGGTCATGAAATGCAACTGCTAATATTTTTTAGAGAAAATAGCCAAAGAAGACAGAAGTACCTCTATCCTGAGTAATTCTTGGTCCCTTTGGAACATAATAACTATAAAGTTTTGCCCCATTTGAAATGTTGTGGCAACTGGAGAAAGACGTGATGAGTAGATGAAAGAAAAAAAAAAGCTAAGGAGGTCCTGGGTGTGCATCTGCAGCAAAACAACACAGCGCTGAGTGAAGCATGTGGTTGCTATTGGACTTGGGATGGGTGGATTCATCAAGTAAGAACAATGACAAGGAAAAATCCAAACTGATCATTTCAGGAAACAGGCAGATGCAGTTGTCTGCGCTAAGCTTCTTAGGTGCAGGTATCTGGGCCACCCTGCTGCTTTTATGTGCGTCTGTAATTTCCTAGACTCTCCTCCTTCGTGTACCCAGTAACAAAACCACCCACCAGCACACACACATCAACTCAGCACCTAAATGCGCTCTTTCTGCTTCAAGGCGCTACTTCTGCTTTGTATTGTTTTCTTATTGGCTCCAATCAGTCATTTTCTTCTTAATTTTCCCTGCTGTTCTCATTTGATGGATCAAATGGCCAAATATTAGTCATATAAAACAACCAAAAGAGGAACCCCCAATCAGACTAGAACATTCTCAGATTCACAAGCTACATATATGTAAGGGGATGCACCTGAGGGACTTCTGGCCCACCAGTGTCATTTTCTAGGGATGATGCTTTCAGGCTAGCTCTGTGACAAGTCAAATTGGTCCATTAGGTTGTAAGGCAGGGGCTGAAGCCAAAATGATTTCCTGAATTCTTTCATGTGAAAACTCAAAAGAAAAAAAAGGTCTTACGAAGTGTTTAGCTGAATCTATTGGATATTTTAGTAAAATATGCACGGTGTAATTTGAAGATATTAATTCTGTCTAGACGCCCAGTGAGGAGAGGGCCCAGCACTGCAGGAATGTGTACAGGCAGGAGGGGGTGTGGGCCTCACTGCTTATAAGGGATCCATCAAGCATGGGCACAGGGGTCCTGGCACATATGGGGCTAAAGAAAGGGCCTTTGGCAGAGACATGGATCCCAGCATGCTGAAAACAAAGCAAGCCACGGAAGGGATGAGCTCTGCTAGACAGTGCTGACCTGGGCATTGAAAAGAGTAAAAAACAAAGACCCCTGAAGGCACACAAACCACAACAACAAAAAACACCTGCAAAGGAAATTAAGAGGGGACCAGAAAGGCAGAGCACGGCCCACTACAAAGTGACGCTAAGTTAGCACCCAATGGAGTGCGAGAAAAACAATAGTGGAGGAGAAACCAAACAACTTCACAGCACATGCAGCACGGCAGGAACACGTGAAAAACGCTGCATCATGCACAGCGCGGTGGGAAAGTGTGCGGATGGTCCCAGCGTGCACCGCGCGGTGGGAAAATGTGCGGGAGGTCCCAGCGCGCACAGCACCGTGGGAAAATGTGCGGGAGGTCCCAGCGCGCACAGCGCGGTGGGAAAGTGTGCGGATGGTCCCAGCGCGCACAGCGCGGTGGGAAAGTGTGCGGATGGTCCCAGCGTGCACCGCGCGGTGGGGAAGTGTGCGGGAGGTCCCAGCACTCACAGTATGACAGGGAAAGCCTGAAGAACGCCCCAGCAAGCACCGCATGGTGGGAAACCGCGAGAAAACGTCCGGGCACACACAGCATACTGGGAAAACAGGAAGGACGTCACAGCACGCACGGCATGGTGGGAAAACGTAAAGAAACGCCGACCATGAACAGTATGGCAGGGAAAGCCTAAAGCACACTCCAGCGCGCAAGGCATGATGGGATGTGAGAAACGCTCCAGCACGCACGGCATGGTGGGAAAACGGGAAGAACGTCCCAGCAAGCCCAGCGCATGGCATGGTGGGAAAAGTTTAAAAACATCCAAGTGCACGACGTGGGGCAGGAAGGGAAAGCTGTCTACTGAGAAGATGCCACTGCGAAGCGCAGGAGCACGCCTCCCTCAAGAGACTTTTCAGGTATTATGTTAGATAGTTGAATAGTTTTGTTCACCACGGTGAGTCTCTGTGGAACAGGCATAAAGGAGCAAATGTAATCAGCAAAGAAAAATGTTATCCCATTAGCTTGTTAGGAGCCAAAGGTGCACGCTGATGCTGCAGGCAGGCAGACTCGTGCTCACCCCAGCGAGGCTTACGGTTGGGGAATAAGTGGTTGTCCACATGGTGGATCCTGGAGATCCTTCCTACCTACCTGTTGCTGCAAATACCACCAACAGAGACTCATCCCAAGAGACCTGGGAGAGGTCAGCCTGGTGCAACAATGGTAGGTGCAAAGAGCTTTCCTCACAACTTCTGTCATTTCTGCGTAATGCTCAGAAAATGTGGACGACTGTTCGTACGTGACTTCTTTACTGTTCCAAACTCTAGTGCCGATTTATTATTCCTCTGAACTACGTTAAGTATTCATTTTCTTCGTGATTTTGTTTTCATTAGCTTCAGGGGTACAAGTGGTTTTTGGTTACATGGATAAATTGTATATTGATGAAGTCTGGGATTTTAGTGCACCCGTCACCTGAGTAGTGTACATTGTACATAATATGTAGTTTTTCATCCGTCACCCCCTCCCAACCTCCCCTCTTCCTAGTGTCCAATGTTCTGGTTACCAGTGCATGCCTTTGCTTACTCACAGCTTAGCTCCCACTTAAAAGTGATAAAATGTGGTATTTGGTTTTCCATTTCTGAGTTACTTCACTTAGAATAAGGGCCTCCAGTTCCATCCAAGTGCTGCAAAAGACATTATTTCATTATTTTTTATAACTGAGTATTCTATGGTGTATGTGGGAGTATACATACACATATGTAAGAAAATGTGAGACTATATATATGATGCCCATCAACAGATTATATATATATATATATATATATATATAATCTCACTGTATATATATCTCACATAATCTCATATTTAATCCCATTTTATATATATGACATTATATATATAAAATGAGATATATATTCTCTACATGTGAGATTATGAGATTATATAACATATTCATATATATGACATTATATATATTCTCTATATATGAGATTATGAGATTATATATTATACTCATATATTATATCTTATTTTGTATATATATAATGAGATCATATATCATATATCATATATAATCTAATTAGATATATGTGATCTCATATATATATTATATATAATGAGATTTTATATATATGTGATCTCATATATGATATATATATCATATATCACATATCATATGATATATATATGAGATCACATATATATAAAATCTCATTATATATAATGATAAACCCCGACAGGCCTTACCACCTCTTGCCCTCAGCGTATATACCACCATCTTCAGCAAACTCTTTAAA